TTTATGTTTTTGGGGGCTTGAAACTACCTAATCATCCGTTACCTTCCCAGTGCCCGTAAAAAACGAATGTTTTAGGGAATTCTTGCTCATGTTGATGGGACAGCAAACAACCAAAAAATGTAGACTAAATGATGAAAGAATGTAATGGTATCCCATTCCTGATTCGTTTGGTATGTGTATCTATCCAAACGCACCCTGTAACCAGCGTCTGTCGGCAGTTGTTTGTGTTCAATGATGGCCACAAACTGGAGCTATTGTGTTTAACCCAAAAATTCAACGACAGTAAGGTCTGTATCTTATGACAGTCTGTTTATGAGACACACACCCGCGCGAAACACAAAGATAATCTTGTGTTCTGGGTGTGGTGTCGTATAACATCCTTGTTTTAAAGTAACCTTTTTACAGGGATCTTCCTGGTGTGTGGCCATGAAAACAGCTTTATCTGCGAATCACAATGAATCCGTAATGAATGTGCAAGGATACCAACTGTTAAACGAGAGACTCTTAAAGAGCAAAATGCCCAAGTGTTGTGTTCTGGTCAAAGTTCAAGACACAAAACTCCCCCATACTGTGCACCTGTCAATTTTGCTGGTCTGGAGTCTATACTGTATACTCACACTGTCCTGCGGTCTCAAACACCTAGTTCAACAAGAATAAGTACCAACCTTCCTGCCCTGAGGCCCAGAAAGCAGGCCAGCATGAGTCTCAAATACAGGTGGAACCAGAAGGTGCCCCCCTGTGAGGGTGACGTGATCCGAAGTCGCCCATGATCAGCGCCGGGTCGTGGGTTCAGATTTGTGTGTGTGTGTGTCGTGTGTGTAGTGGTGCGTGTGTGCTTGTTGTTGTGTGTGTGTGGCTGTGGTGTGTGTGCATGTACGGATTAAAAGACAAATAACTCCATTACAGTATAGTGCCAATGATGCAATTGCATTCGTTTGAGAGGCACGTTTCTGAAATGTAGGACTGTGAACTGAAGGTTAAGCAGTAATCTTTCCTAGTTGTAGGACACAGACGAGACGGACACAAGGAACAGATTTTGTGAACTGGACAAAACAAATAACAAAGAACACTGTGCAAACAACCAAAAGAAAAAACATGAAAAAATAATCCTCAATACGTATGAATATGATACGTAGGGTATACTATAGCTAGCTATATAATGAAAGATAATACAAACCTTTTCGATTGTCTGCTGGGATAATATAAGCAATTTTGTCCGCTTACTTACAAATCGGTTTCTTTCCCTTGTTCCTCCACCAGTTGGATGTTTGACGCTTCTCCTGTGCAGGAATGCCCATGCCAGCCGAGAGAGTTTCGACAGAAGGATGTTTTCACATTTATTTTTTAAATCTATTTATGATTTTAGGGGCAGGGCCAATGACCATGATTTGTGACAAATAGTTTGGAAGTCAACCATGGTCCAGTATCCAACTTCTACAAGTATGATGTAGAAACCTAAATCACCAGTGCACATACACTGAGAATGGACTTTGCAGTGAAGTAGGAGACATCTTGTGTCCAACCGGACAACTTGAGAAATTAACAAAATTAGCATGTTCATAGATTCTGTAATTTCTAATAAAGGAGTAAATGCCTTCTTTTTTTTAAGCCTTGCTCAACTCCTCTTTAAAAGGTGGTGGAACAGGACTGTATTTTATCTCAACTTTAGCACTACAATGTACTTTCAACTTGCATTGCACATATTCTGTTAAGAGGAGGGATTACTATACAATCTAAATACACAATATTTTCTTAGATCAGATAGTGTGACGATACGTTGTGGTGATTAATAAAATTAAATAAAGATCATTAAGGCATTAGGAATAAATAAAAAACAGCGACAAAATGTAAAATACATATCCTCTGTGGAGGGGTGGGGGTGGGGTGGGGGGATAACCTAATTTGCACTTCATTCATCTTGTGGTTATGTTTTCCGCCCCATTAATCTGCTGTTGTTAAGCTGTGAACTGCTCACATTATGGGGACACTGTAGTGTTTAGATTATTACTTCCCCCTTGAGTGTGTCTTTTTCTGCTCACATATTCCTGTCCGTTTTCTAGAATTCATCCACTGACCTTCACAGTATTATTGTCTTCTTGCATTTCTGTCTCAAACTGCTAGAGTATCTCTCTTTTTGTAAGACTTGCACACATTCATTTCCCTTTAAATCAACCGAGGGGATCCAGCCTCACCTTTCCTCTTTATTCAATCACTTGTAACTCAATTCAAAAGCATTCATAGTGAATTACATTCACATGAGCTCCACACTCGGATAACTGACCTAAATGGTGGACCTATTCAAGCATGCGGAGCTGTGCTTTGTGTGTCTGTCTGTGTATATGTGAGTGAGAGAGAGAGAGTGTGTGTTTTGAATGTATGTGTCATAGGATTAAAAATAACTCCTTTGTAAACGCTCAAAGATTTTGCTGCCCTCCTCCACGGATGAAGCATGATAAAATAAATATATTACTCATTGGTTCCATTACTGAAGACTAAAAGCATTCACGCGGGAGTGTTGTTTGATGATTTTCTGCTCATACTCTATATCAGCTGGGTCTTCTCAATGGCATGTGTCTGGTTTCCCAAGAAGGACTACATGAAGGGGGCTGCAACTAACCATTACATGTTCATAGTGGATTTACCTGTCTATTATGTTTTTGATTTGTTGTAATATCTATAAAATGTAGGAAAAGTGTGACACCTTTAAATGTATTTTTTCTGATAAACAATTCAAAAGATAGTCAATATACAACATAAAAAAATATATATTTTCTGTTGAGCCACAAGTCAATTAATCTTTACAGCACTACACCAGAGCCATAGTAAATGATCTTCTAATGAAGGACACTGACATATAGAGTAAATCAGTCTTGGAGTAGGCTACGCCCTTCTGCATAACACTGTTAATGCTCACTTGTTCGAACAGCTCACTAGAAAATGTTCAGCTTACTGTACAGCTTTACTCCAAAAAAAGGAAAGAAGCACTGATCTAGAGATGCACCTCTACCTGCTCCTCCTGATGATAAAGTAAAAGTAAAAGCCAGAGAACATTGCTACAGTCAATTTATGGAGTAACATTACTCTTACTGAGTATATGTCAAATATCACAGGATCTCCTGTCACAAAAAAGTGTAAATCTTAGGGATTCAACTCTCATTTCTGATGTCATAATTAATATAGTAAGGTGTTACTGTTATTTTGTCCACCACTGAACATCCTGAGGGAGTGTAAATGGACCAATCCTGGCTTGTTTGCACATCAAATACGCACTTTGTTCTACCTATAGGAGGGGAAAATTGTTATTTATAACATTATTTATATAGAACCCAACTGTAACAGGCTGAACCGACACATGCATTGCCCCGAATACACGAGAAACCTAATTTAAAACGTGCATCTTAGTCAGGGAGTGACCTGCCTACCTGTCTGAATGATGCTGATTACTTTCACTGCTTGTGAACAGTCTGAAGTCGATGACCGCCAACACTCACAGTCCAGTTACATAATACCAATAAACACGGATTTGCGAGCTGAAGATTTAAAAATGTTGTAATATGACTGCATTCCTCTCATGCAAGCTTGAAAACATTTGCAAACACTCACCGCGACAGAGCCAGTTGAAGAGGCGATGTAAACCTTGATGACCATTTTAATCCCCAAAATAATGTCAGACAGGCGACAAACAAACTGTCTGCTGGCAGCGACCCGCGTTTATTTCTTTGAATAACAAGGAGGGGCTTTAAACTACAGGCTGTGCTTCAGATGAGGGAACACACGCGTCTCCAACATTTAAACTGAGGCATGATAATAAAACAGCGTGCGTCTCTGCCGACTGTGGCGCTCACCGATCCTCCCTGCACACATACAGGAGACATCACATAAAACACTTCCGGTCGTTGTTTCAAAATAAATACAAAACAGACAACGTGATTGCTCGGGGGGAGGGGGGGGATATGGACCAAATCTGACGTCCAAATAAATATACCGTTGTTTAAATAGTTATGTGTGTACTTTTAAGTGTAGATCTCGGTTTCTGATTTGTCTCTATTTCTCAACCAAGCACACTTAAATATTATTTGGTCAATTAAAGAGGTTATTTTTATTAATGGGCTCATTCCAGGGAATTTCTGTACACTATCATCTGCCTTCACGTAGATCACACAAACATAATTTTAGTGTCAAACGTTACTTGTTTATTTTGAAAAGAAAAACTATTTCTACGTCTACTCCTGCTTGACTATGGTTATGTCCGGCAACTTGACGCAGGTAACCTCCCCAGCCAGTTTCAGGTGGCTGCATTGAGGATTGATAACAGGGAAATGTAGTTCTCAGGATGCTGGCAGCATTTTGGGGAAGTAAGTGGTAGGTTGGTCTGTCCAGTTTATTTTTTTTACTTTTCAGCATATCCCAGATTTCCATCAGATATGGTGAATTTAGGCAATCAGCTTGTGGTGTGGATTCAGATTCAGCTGCACTTCTATTAAAAAAGCTGGCTATGTATCCACTGACTGTTTATCACTGTGTATTTCTTGTTGCAGTTAGGTCCAGATACTGTCAATGGTCCAGATAGAGATGAAAATGCAATAGGATATACACCATTGATGGAGGTATGCATTTCAGTACATACTGCTGCCAATAAAAGAGCTGACAGACTGTATGCAGCACATCATTTATCTTAAAAACATCATCTCAATTTCAAAATGCATTGCACAGCAAAGATAAATAAACCACATAAGCAGATGCAAGGACTATTGCATGCTACAGATGGCCAGATACCACGCGTTGCACATAATTCATGACATATCAAACACAAAGCATTGTATGCATGCACATTGCACACATCCTAAAAGCCTTGACTATCACAACGCAGGGTAATGACTTTAACACTAAGCAAACACGGTGCCAGGGTTGTAAATTCTCCTTTATTAACATAACGCCCAATCACAACACCGACTACAGCGCCACTGTGGTGGTAGAGGGGTACTGCAGGGAGTGCTGCGGTTGCCATGGTACGGCGTCATCGTAGGACTGGAGCTAACCTCAAAAACACTATCCTTACGACCCTGACGACCAGGAGTAACTTACTCCCTCCTATTCTGTGGATAAATACAGGACGGCGCATTGTGAAACAATAGTCGTGACTGTTTCTAAACGAGGACGGTCGACTGTGCCGTTTTATAGGTTGCTGTGACGGTTGCTAAGCTAGCTAAAGTTCGCGCTAGCTCGCTAGTAGTTGAAGCTATCTTCTCGCTAACACTCGCCGACCGAGTCCAGACAAGAAGCTCGTAATCGCTACAAAGTGAAGCGTAAACCGGACAGAGCCGGCGAGATTTAAAAGGAGTCACTGTTAAACGCGGGGAACGGACAGGTTGGTGCCAGTAGACACCGGGCGGTAACGTTCAAACACATCTCACCTGTTGATGGTAGTGTTTTAGTTGCTATGCTAGCATAATAAGCCACCAATCAGTCAGCCCTCCGCCAGCTTTCTAACTACAACCCTTCATTTATGTTTGCTAATGTCACAACGATGAGATGCTGCGTGGACTGTCGCCTACTTTATTATTCCCCTCTACTTGAGAATGTCTCACACCAGTAGTAAATGTCCTGGTGAGACGTGTAATGGGCTTTAAGATAAGATATGTGCGGCTGTTAATGTAAGGTCCCACAGGTGGCGGAAATTCCAATATTACAGCAGCAAAGTGGACAGAAAAGTATAAAGACAGTATGAAAAAATAATATAATATAAACTGGTACTTAGGTATTGTTAGCTACACTTCGTTGTTGTTGTTGTTTTTACTTGGCAGGCAGTCTCACAACAATGCACCTGTCAACAACAGACGGTCCATTTTAATCCAGCCTGTTCCTGTCAGAGAGAGCGAGCCGGGGGAGCTGGTGTGTTTGTGCCACAGCTGGAGTCAGCCCTTGATAACACGCCTCTGTTTGCTCTCAAGACGGGGATGATGAGGATATGATGTGACCTGTATGGTGAGTGTCAATTTGTAGAATTAAATCATGGCTTTTTGGTCATCAAAAAACACATACACTGTAATGGCAGTGAAATTGGGAGGTAAATTAGTTTGAATGAACAGTCTTCATTACTGTGTGTTTATGAGTGTGTAGGCTGTTTTTCCTCATAATCATTAGAGAGGAGAACAAACATTACATAAGAGCAATTTTTACTGTTTTAGAAGGCGGATTGTCTTCAGCTGGAGGACCTTTCTGTCTTGCCTGACCTACAATTATGCTCTCTTCCATATATGGTGATGCCACTGTGTGTACTGGTGTTGCCATAGTACTTGCCCATGGAGTGATTCTGTTATTGTCAGGGCTGATCAGAGAGCCGGATGACTGCACGACCTTTACATGTCATTAACGCAAATATTAAAGAGCATACAGGCTCCTCAGCTGAATTCTGTGTTCATTCCCCTCACCAACAACAACAAATACAATCGGACTTTTTCATTTTGTTTATGTTTCTAACACATGGACTAGAACATTTTGTGGGGAAATCTCATAATTATTCCATTTGTAATTTACTCACAAAATAATGTCAGAAGATTTCTAGGTTTATTACAGTATATAGTAAAGCTGTGCATACGTCAAACACATATGTGGTAGAATATATATTTTTATGAAACACAATCTATAATAAGCAGAATAAAAATATCAGCTGAGAATACCTGAACACTACTTCTATTTTATTTTCTCCCCTTTTTCTGTATTCTTTGTGTGTGTTTAATAAGTCACCAGGGCAGAAGGGGGCAGGCTAGCATTTTGTATGTAGCAGCAGTGGTGTGTAATAGTGATATCATACATCATTCAGCCTCATGGAAAATTCCACCTTGTGTGTTGTCGCTTAGTGACCAAGACACACAATACGGAAAACCTGAGAGAAACCACTCGGCCTAGCCAACTGTTTTGGATGAATTTTGAGAATTTCCTTCTGGGTTGCACAGTACAAATGCAGGAGTCAGTTTGCCAGTCTGTTAAATCAGGTAAGGTGTATCCTGTACAAGGAAGCCACTGTTACTGTTCAATTGTAAAATCATGTCATTCAAAAGTCTGATATGTTTCTTTCCTGCTTTTTGTGTTTAAATTCAACACAGCATTTCTTTTCAAAGTGACAACATGGAATCTGAAAGCATAACTGACCCGTATGAGGACAACCGGGATGTCGGTCAAAGTCGGCAGTCGCAGCGGAGTTCAAAGAAAGATTCCCAAGAGTCATCCAATCAAAAACAGAAAAAGAACTTCAGGGACAAGATCCAGGACGAGGTTGAAAAAGACAGCTGTTCTGAGAGTAGATCGAAAACGCGAACGTGGCGTTCGGATCCAGACCGGGACCAGGTGTCCGATGGAGAAGGACGGAGAAGTAGTAGGTCCTTTTACTCAGAGGACTATGAGAATGAGTCTCCTTCAGAGGGGTCGCTCTCACCATACTCCCAGTCCCGGACTCCATCCCCTATCCCTCAAAGAGGGGTACGGGCGAAGAAGATTTCTAACAACCCCCTCTACAAGACAGGTATGTAAAGCAAGGAAGTGAGGAAGTATGGTTGGATGAATGAATGAATCAAACTTAACCCTTGCTGTTTAAATGTGCTGTACTGTCCAGGTGATGGCAGTGTAAGGCAGATTTTAAGGACAGAAATCCTCTCTTTTAAACATGGAGTCAGATTTGAATCAGCAGGTTTTTCCTGAACTTTGATTCACAAACTCAGTTGTTATACACAATAACTTTTGAATATTATAAAAAACATTTAACAACATTTATATTTATCATTTATATTCTTCCCTACTAGTGCACTTATCCATGTGCTTCAGTAATGGCCTGTAAAGGTGTTAAATGTCCTTACCTTTAAATCATTTCTACCTTGCAGGCGGTGTGGGGCGCAGGGGTGTATCTCGCCCACAGCGTCCAGGTGGCCAACCCCTGACCCAACAGCATCGCAGGGGAGTGCATTCACAAAGTAAGGAGTCCACACCCCCTAAAGACCTGGACCTGGTCACAAAGAGGATGCTTTCAGCCCGCCTGCTGAAGATCAATGAATTGCGTAACGCACTCGCTGAGCTGCAGCAGCGCACTGACGAGCTGCAGAAGGAGAATCGAATTCTCAGACAGGTAGACGTAACCCTCTAGTTAAGTTTAAAATCAATCACGTTGTAATTGATCTTTTTAAAAATCTTGAACACCCTGTGGCACCCTAAAATTGGATTTTCTTGTTTCCCACACTGCAGCTTCAGGTACGTCAAGAGAAAGCCCTGCATCGCTACGATGACACAGAAAGCGAGATTTCCCAGCTACTGTCACGCCACAACAACGAGACCCACGTGTTGCGTGAGCGGCTCAGGCGTAGCCAAGAGCGGGAACGGGCAGCTGAGCGGCGGTTGAAGGACAGCGAGGAGCAGCTTCTAAGGAGTCAGTCGACCATCGCGCGCCTGAAGAAGCTGGTCGACCAGCGAGAGTTGGGAGCCAGAGACGAGCTAAGCCGCAAGCTAGAGGAAGAGAAGGCACGGGCCCGAGTGGCAGAACAAAAGATTAAGGTACATTTATTTTACATTTCATTTATTTGTTATAAAGCTCAAGTGGGTAGAATGACAGCACCTTATACACAAGCATAGAGGAGTTTAGGCAGTTTTCAGATTTGATAGAATTTGCACTACAATAGACTATTTCACCACATAATCTTTTCGATGTCTTTTTGAAATGTGACTTATAGATTCAAACAAATTATTGGTGTCTGGTTTACAAGGCTATACCGTAGTTAGATAAACAATCACTGGCAGGTAATACGCAATACACACGCTCATTTGCATCAAATTTGTATGTATGGAAAATTATTATCAAACTTGAGTTCCCTTTTTGTCATGCGACAGTTGTAAAGTGCATTTGTTTATCTGTGTGTGTTTGTAGGAGCTGGAGCGTAGCATGGAGCTGAGCAACAGCAGTTACCAGAGGCAGCTGGCTGCAGAGAGGAAGAAGACCATCAGTGCCCAGGAGGAGATCAGGACTCTGCAGGAGGAGCTCGAACGACTGACCAATAAACTCAAGGTCCATATACACAAAAATATACTAAATCCCCCTCCACTCAAAAATGCGTTTTTCTTCTTGTTCCTACCTATGTTTGAGCTTCACTGTGCAGAGAGACGTATGTGCAGTTTGACACCAGAAGGATGTTTTCACATTCATCTGCTAAAAGTGGAAAGTTTCTCTGTGCTCACTGAAAGTCAGATTTTAAGGGGTCCAGTATGCAACTTACACAAGTGTGATGTAGAAACTGGAAGCTGCCAGTGTGCTGACACTGAGAACAGACTTTACAGTGAAGTAGGAGCATTGGATATTGTTTAGGTTTTTTCCAATACCGGTGCAAAAATTAACTTTAGAAAGAAGCAAAAAATGACATTATAGTGAAATTAAAGAACGACTTTGTTTATTGCTTAGGCAAACTTAAAATGGAGCTATATATTAACTTTTAATAGTTGAAAGTATACTTGAATCTATTAATTTAAAAAAAAAAACCTTTTCTTTATTTAATATTTATATTTCATTTATTTACATAACAAACACCAAATGACAGTTACAGTACTAATAACTGCAAAATACAGTACTTTCTTTTTAATTCTAAACATCTTTCTGAATTGTTGTTTGTCTGTTTGATTCATGATATGTGCATAAAAAGCAAATTGCTTATTGTATGACATTTTTTCACTCTTTTTTTTTTTATCAGGAGAAGGAAAGAGAACTGGATGCCAAGAACATCTATGCCAACCGCATGATGAAACCCTCACCAAAAAAAGATACTGACAGTGGCACAAAGCGGAAAGGTAAGGCCTAACCATGGGCTTCTGTTCATGATGCATGTGCATTTGTGAACTGTATATACTTAAATTAGTTTTTCTCATAAGTTATTGGGCATGGTTTGATACAGGATTATCAAAATTACCTCATTTCTTTCACACAGTTCCCAGCAGGAACAGCTCCAAGGCTGTGCAGACTAAAGACAGGCTATCTAGTCTGGATTTCCCCACTCCTCCCCCTGCCATCGCCGATGCCAATGAGTACAGCGAACAGGCACCTGACGAATACTTATCACTCAAGGTACGAGAAGAAGTGACTCCACTTCACTTTACTTCAACATCCACACTTCCTCTTCTGTCACTGTCATTCATCTCGTTTGCCTCTGCATTTCAATCAATGTGTGTCAACAGGATCTTGACAGAGAGGACAGACAGGCAGAGACTGAAGACAGGCATCAAAAGTGGGAACAGCACAAGACGAGAGACAGGGAGAAAGAAAGCGACAAGGAGAAGGAGGTGGTGAAGGAGAAAGAGCAACTCAATCAGGAGCTAAATGTTCTTGAGGAGAAGGCAAAGAGGCTCAGAGATGGTAAGCTAAGCAGAGTGTATACAAACACTAATGAGAAAAGTAGTAAAGGCACAAGAGAGCACCAGTAATGGCTTCATCTAATGTCCACAGGTTGGGAGAAAGAAAAAGAGGAAAAAGACAGAAATAGGACAAGTTCTCTGTTAAACCAGGAGGAAGAGAACAACAAGAAGGTCGGCCTTGTCCAGGAAGAGGTGAAGAGGTGGAACCAGGATACTCAGGCCAATCGGCAAGCAGCAGAGGAAGCGCGTCGCAAAAAAGAGCAGCTGCTGGCTAAGATGCGTGAAATAGACCACGGAGCCCAGGACACCATGTTTGCTGAGTCTAGTCTTTCTGAGTCCAATAAGTTTACCAGTAACCATCCTTCTCCTCGTCTTCCTGAGCAGAGGAATCACAACTCTTCCATTTTTAACCTCACGGAATCAGAGGAGTCGGCCAGTTTGCGCGCCGGTGCTGGAAGCCGGGAAGGTGGAAGGAGAAGATCAGGCCTAGAGGGTGGAGCTGTTACAACGGGAGTGGGGAGGAGAGCACTACGCTCCCAAATCTCCAATGACGACTTGGCATTCGGAAGCTACGCACCGTCTTTTGGAAATTCTGCTTCCCGAGGTTCTTCGGGCTTCCCTCCACCTCCGCCCATGGATGACAGGGACTCTGCTTTAGAAGCAATAGGTGTTTTTAGTCTCAGAGGGGTGGAGACGGAGAAAGACAAGGAGACGGAAAGAGGAGTGGGGCAGGACAAGAAGTCCAGCCTCATGCAGCAGCTATTTGGTGCCCTGGCAACACCTGCTGGTGACAGTGCGAGCACCAATAAGATGGAGGTCCTCAACAGTCCTCCAGCAATCAATGGAGTACGTCCGAGAAGGGAAGGACTGCTCAGCTTCAACTCAGGGTCTTCCACTCCTCCGTCATCCTCCCTGAACACCCTACACGTCGCAGATAGCAGACCTGCCGTCCGTGCCATCACCTCGTTCGATGATGACATAGAGGAACTCACTTTATGAAATCTATTTCGATTTGACGTCGTTTTTTGTAGGGGAGGTGATTTCCAAAATATAAGAGGTTGAGCGAGTGAGTCTGAACACTGATTGACTTCCCAATTAAAAAAATTTTCAACATTTTAGAAGCAGACATAGAAGAGGAAAAAAAGATCTAAAATAGTACATGACTCTATAAATGATAAATGATTTAACTTGTGTTATTGTCTTTTTAGTGATTCATCTAGAAAGTAATTCCATGTGACCTTCGAGCATTCAGGTGCATGTGTGCTGACACATGGATTACAAAAATAGTTGCCACAACTGTTGCTGACATAGGGTTTTTGGACCCTTTGATGTGTGTTTAGTTGAACTTGTGAGTGTTGTGCAGACTGCGGCTTTTACTTGTTGCACTTGTTAAATTTGAAGAGGTTCCTCAGGTTGCATTCCATTATTTTGGTAGAATATGAATATAGGAGAGCAGAGCCACAGCACACACACAATCCCTCCTCCCCCCACCCGGCCTAGAATATTTGCCCAATAAACGAATGTAAACCAAAGTGCAAGCAATACAGTCACTCGTTGCTGTAAGCCACATTTCTTTGCGTTTCACATTTTAAGCGATTTTGCCATATTTCTTTTAGTAATAATGGTTTGGGGTTGCTGTTATTATCGGCTGGTTTGGGACCCTATATTACTTAGCGTATCTTGCACACATTTTATTCCACACAGTTTGAGCACAGTACTTAAACTATAAATTATTTTACAGTCCATGCCATAAGAATGTAACACAAAGCGATATGACAATCACAGTGTGTTTAGAGTGCCCGGCTGTTATATAAAATGGGTTATATTTAAACCGTTTACTCTAAAACTCCATAAAAATGGACTGAAACATGATAATGCCCTTTAAGTGTGTATGTAAGTGTATGTTAACAAAGACTGTTGCTATTTGACTCACCTGACCTGAACACATTGGGTGTTTGAGGGCATTAACATGAGCATTGACTAGACTTTACATTAATCAATATTCCCTGGCATGTTCCAGGCTCCCTGCACTGATATGACTCATAGCAGACAACCAGCACTAAGCCACGAGTTATATTGAAGTGAACAGACAAAATGCTTTATTGTTATCTATATTTATTGATTTTAAGCTCTTATAAACTCACATTCCATGATCTAAAACCTCTATTGATTATTACAGCAATCCCTAATGTTATCCATGTGCATCAGGAAGCTGTAAAATGTCCACATTTGAAGAGCTCTTTGTATTTATTCTGGCAGATTTTACTATTGTGACTTTCATAAGGGATGAAATGTGTAACCAGTGAAAACTTTGTGGTGGAATCAGTCTGTATTCATGTTTTGCATTTTTCACATTTTATACTTATTATCCACTTGTATTGTTCGTGTTTTATAAGTGTTGTATTTTGTTGAACGAAAATAAATGCTTAGATATCAGTCCGTGGCGCACGCACATTAATATTCATGCGGCAGGGAAGCCTGATAGGGATTCCCGGGACGTCTCCAAGCAACCAGAACCTGACGCAGCCGTCCCGCCCCTCCTCCGGTAGGTCTCTGCTCAAAAACAAGTGAACCGCGGAGCTGCTAATATCGGAGAGAGAGAGGGAGAGAGAGGGCTTGAGATGGTCTCCGCTGATGTGGCTGCTCGGATTCAGACTGACTCCCTGTTGGACCGCTGTTGCCGCCGCTGAAGGTAAACCAGCCACACGCAGTTTGAATTGTGTGAGATGATGCCGGCAGTGTCCCAGCGTGCAGCGCGCTGTCAGTAAAGCCAGAGGAGGTTAAAATGACTGTCTGCTCACGTGGACGCTGTATCCCTCGGGTTATTCGTTGTTTCTTTTCTTTTTCTTCTGTTGCTTTAATGTGGTATTATTTGTGTAGAGATGTCGTGCTAGGCTGTTTCCTGAAGAAACCGGTGAGAGGTACACGAGGCTGCAGGAAACATGAACAGAATAAGAAAAAAGTTGAGCACAACTTTAGATTCCGACATCCCCCTTTATGGGCTAGGATAAGACTAGAATAAGGTCAAGTGAAGAAGGTGGAATTAAGGCATTATATTGTATTGTTATTATATATATTATATTATTGTTATTGGCTACATTTTGTGTTGATGTTATGTTTTCACCCATAAAAAATGATAATTGAGAGAAAATCCTCTTATGTAATACTGACTTGATAAAACTAAGTACAGTTACTCAAATGATGAGCTTCAGTACAATTTTGAGGCACTTGTACACTTTTATTTATTTTATTTAGATTCATTCTAATGTTACAGAATATAACAGTATGTATCTGTTTGTATAATTATGGATACAGATAAGACTTTATTGATCCCTCTGTGAAATTCATTAGCTACCCTGCAGTATATATGGTTAAACATAAATAAGCCCCATCTTTACCAGCTGCAACATTTAAATGATGTACACATGAATGCATCAAAAAATAAAATTCAGGAATGTAATAAAGTAATTGAATAAACTTTATTTTGAAATGGGCCATTCTGCATGATTAATATTTTTACTTTTGATACTTTAAGTATATTGTGATGCTTATTCTTTTACCTAAGTAATATTTTAAAGGCAGGACTTTAACTTGCAACAGTATTTCCACACAGCATTGCTACTCTGACTTAAGGCTTAAGACAGAAATAATCATGTTTATGTTATAGAGTATTTTATTCAAATGTGTCCCTCCTAATGAACAGGGAAAATACACCTGTTGATACCCCTGTGGGTTTTTTTCTTTATTTGTTATTGGTTTTAGCTGTTAATGTGCCATATTTCAAACCACAGACTATTTTATTAAGTTTCTGTTGCCATAACAAAGGAATCCAATATGCCACAGTAATTGGGTGTTTACCCTAATGAATAGCTTGTGTGTTAGGCTACTCATCTCTTTGATGATTTCTATAGATAATAATGCTCATATTTCCACAGACTGCTCTGGGGATCAGCACATAGTCAACCCTCCAGTTTGAAATATAACACCTTTGAATGGAACTGACGCAGAGTTTTGTTATGTTGTAGATGGGCGAGATACACGCTAAAGCCTGATTAGGTACTCTGCGGTCATGTTTGTTATGTAGACATTCCTGCATGTTCTAGATAGAAGAGCCAGACTTCATAAACCAGATCAGGTTTTGGCATCTTAGAATCCAACACGCACAAACTAAATTCTCTTGGTGTGACAACACTGCAACTGGATGTTGGTGAGCAGTCAGATTCTGCTGCCTTGAAACCAGAGGAATGTATGGGGGATGTTTGGTGATTTAGGCGCCAGTTGGGACATTTGAATAAATGGGAATAAATGTTTTTTTTCTCCCCAAAAGATATATCAATGTTTGTATTTGCCCCAGGCTGCATTTGATATTCAGGATGTAAATTTTGGCTTCCTTAAGAGAAACATTTCCTGCTGGTCTATTCAAAAGTGGCTGAGGTCACCGAAAGTGCCTCTTAAATGATCAAGCAGCCAACAAGAGGCTGGTTTGGGGTTTTTTGCTGTTATTATTTTAAATCCTTCATTTCTTTATAACCGTGATCACAGCTCATTATATAAATAAATGTGCACACACTTTTCCCCACATCTTGGCTCTGCAGTTCCCATTCACAATTTAAATAACCTCCTTACTGTACATGCAGGATCATTGCTCTTTAAAAATGCATGTGGTATGGATTTTCATCCCCGTTCATTGGTCTCCTCTAACAATGTGGTCTCCAGAGACACACTGATTCCTTCAGAGAATAAGTAGCGGATCCATTCCCGGGCATTCACAAGTCAGCTACTCTGCACAGTGAGAGGCCTATTTTACCTTGCAAAACAGCCAAGCCTATCATTAGATACAGTGACTTCACTGCTGGTCTGCTGTGCCCATTATGGAATAAGTGAGCACTAACCACTTATTGAGTGCTTTAAGACTTTGTGAGAGGACACTGGGCAGAACGTCTGCTTTTGCTGCCGCTGTTAGGAGTGTGTGTTTGTTATATCATTTAAGAGGTTTAAGGATTGTGTTTGTGACTCTATTTCCTGATCTTGTGGGCCTTCATCCTCACCCCACTGTTTCTTAACTGGGTGGAATAAATAGTGATTCATGGTCACCAGAGGAAGAATCCTACGGTTAGAAATCTCTTGATTTTTTCCCCTACAGGGCACCACCATGATGCTGACATGATTTTAGGTCCAGTGACTAACATTTAGGTCAATCTATTTGCAGAAATGGAGTTTAACATTCTGTTTCACAATCACCTGAAAATAAGAATTATTGTGTCTTTGTTATGTTAATGAGCGAGTTTTATCTACAGAGGGAGTCTGTCCTCTTCCACAGAGGCTGCCATGTTGAACCATGTTTTTACAGTAGCCCAGAATGGACAAACCAAGCACTGGATCTACATATGTCACATATGTAGATAGAAGTTGTAAATATAAGGGTTTCTGTAAAAGAGCAACACTATCAGCCATTGTGCCCCACTGCCAGTCGCCTGTCACCTTAGGTTGGTTAAGGCAATAAGCCCTGAGGACAGGAGGTGGAAAATTGCTGATTCATTTACAGTCCCTGTGTCGTTGCTATGGAAACAATTTGTTCCTGTTACATGGAAATCCAAGAGGTGTGTTCCCTCGGTTTAAATCGGTTTACAGAATGAAGGAGCGAGAGTGTAAACTTTAATTATAGCCTACTTGTTATTCAGTCTTTCTGAGATATAATCTGTTATACAAATGAGCCTGTCATGCCTGAGTTGAGGTGTAGCCTTTTTGTCAGATGCCGTGTTAGTTTTGTCTGTTATTTGGATTATGGTGGCTGGTGGTATAGACAGAAAATATTTCATAACTTGTGTCCTCCTCTCTACAGTGTTAAAGACGATCTGCCTCTAAAACGCCAATGGATCCATTAAAAATCCTTCGAAGACCGACTTAACTGACAAAGGACTTAAACACACGACTATGGTCAACTGTGACAACGAAAGAAGCCACCAATGAAGAACAGATACCTTTATCTATTTTTATTTTGACACATTTGTTAGAGAGCTTTTTGTATTAAGCAGATTAATGATGGACGCACCTTCAGCCCCTCAGATTATAGTGGAGGGGGCTTGTGTCCTGGAGGAAGCAGAAAGTGGGGAAGACGTGGATTTGCCTAAAGATGACCATCTCATGAACTTGAAGGCCTTGACAGAGAAATTGAGACTGGAGACCAGGAGACCTTCTTACCTGGAGTGGAAAGCTAGGCTGGAGGCAGAAAGCTTCAGAGAACCAGGAAGTGGAAAAGGCCCGATCCAAGTGGAGCCTGAAGGGAAAGAGGCTGTAGTGAACTCTGGTGTGTTTCAGTGCAAGTTGCCATCAGGTGTACTGAAGGGATTCGGGAACATCGATGAAGCTCTCAGCTGGCTGAGGAGAGAACTGGTGAGACGTGGCTTCAATTCTTTACAATGTACAACTTTATCAGCTATCTTTGGATTATGTAGCAGTTTGCAATAAGTTTGGCATCTCTGAAAAGGTTTTATTTTGTTTCGTATTTGTAGCCCTTTTTTAAAAGATCTTGTCCAGACAATTAACCCTCTGGATACTTGAGATTCAAGTACACACTTTGATTCACATTTTTAATTAAGAGCTTTATAATTTTGCAGTTAAAGGCCAGAATAGAAAAATAACTTCCTGCTACCTAGCTAATTAGAATTTAACAATGGACACAATGTCCAATTACCGGCCAGAAGGATCCAATTTACATTAGCGAGTGAGATTGATTGGGACTCAGGCAATTGCATCAGACGTTTGTTACACAGTTTCCGCAAGTGTAATCATTTTTACTCTGCTCAATTACTCTGCACATTCACCCGCGGTTCATAAGCCTGCACTGAGCACGCAAAGAGGCACTGTCAGAGGCAGAATCATACCCACAAACATTCTGCACATAGACAGTGGACAAGAGGGATGATTATGATCTTTGCACAGACGTTTGCACATAGACAGTGGACACGAAGGAGATAAAACTGAGAGAGCTTATGATGAGAAACTTGTTTGTGGATGTCTCACTGTGAGTTTTCTTTTTGGATTTTGTTACACAATAAGGACTGAATGCACGGACCTCCCAGGAATCTACATCATGTGAACTATGCGTTAATTGTTGTTGCTGTAATCATACTTAGAAATAAAACAGTTCAGCATTATCCTAAAAAATGTGTTTAAAGGAATAGTTCGACATTTTGTGAAAAATACTTTTTTGCCAAAAGTTAGATGAGAAGATGAAGTTAAATGCCTATGATTAGAACCAACAGTAATTTGTATATTTTACAACACTATACAGTACCAGTCAAACGTTTGGAAATACTTTCCTATTCACTGTGTCCAAACTGGTATATATTGTGTTATTTACAGTACATCAAAGTTTTTTCATTTAAAGAACGTGCAGACATTTGACCGCACATATCATGCAAAGTGTTCATTCTTGAAGCCTGTGCTCCATATTTGCCATTTGTTATCATTTTCACTTTGGATAGTCTACCGGCTCTTTGATTTTAATCAAGTCATTATTTATAATCACAACAAATGTGCTCAGCAACTTACCAGATGAATTTTAAAGTACATTTTTGACCTCGGATACTGATTACAAAAACTGTCAACACAACTTAGTTGTTTCCGAAGCTTTCAACCACATCTTATGGCCTTCCTCCGGGAAGGTAGTTGCTCAGTTGTCATTGAGATTTTTTATAATCATGTGCAACCATCTGTTATCACGTGATCAACTGAGTCACTCTATCCACTGAGGAAGGCCACGAAACATAAGTTAGGCCTTTTGTTAAGAATTTCTATGTCAAGTTGCCATATTTTTCTAAATTATTTAGTCACATTCCCAGATCGTCAAATACCGACGTGGGAATGAGACTCAACAAATATTTCATGACCTGGGAGCACCAGCATCACCTGCTGGGTTGTGTGGTTTTCTCCGAGCCACTTTGTTTGTTTTCCATTTACCATAACCCAAGGCGTCAGTATTGGACGACGTGGCAATGAGACTCAACAATGAACTATCTTTCTCCAGAATGACCCACCTTTAAAGGTCCAGTGTGTAGCATTTAAGAGGATCTATTGACAGAAATGGAATATAATATAAATTCTACACCCTTTACCCAAAAAGTAATTTCTAATAAGAAAATCAACAGCTTGTTTGAGCACCACTGTTTTCTGTCTCTCTCCATCAGACAGACATGCGCTTGCAGGACCAGCAGCTGGCGAGGCAGCTCATGCGGCTCCGGAACGACATCCACAAGCTGAAGATAGAGCAGACGTGCCACCTGCATCGCCGGATGCTGAATGACGCCACCTTTGGCCTCGAGGAGCGGGACGAGCTGTCGGACCTGCTGTGTGAATGTCCGGTCACCCCAGGGCTCGGCCTTTCAGCCCCGCTGAGGCTCATTGGCGTCACCAAGATGAATATTAACTCTCGGCGTTTTTCGCTCTGCTAGGGGCAGCGATAACCCTTCAGGCAGGAAATCCTGGAAACAAAACAGCCTGTCTTATACTATCTTTGCTCCATTGCAACATGCCAGCCATGGCCATATGTTAGATAGTGTTGTAATCCTTTGTGCATACCACAATGTTGTGAGGATGAATCTTGATGTAAACCCTGTTTTACAGTCCCTATAATCAAAGAGAGAGATTTAGGCAATGTATATCATTTAGAAAGAAAATAATTGGGTGTAGTAGGTACATATAAAGTGCTTTTGCCACTAAACTATACATGGCAGCTATATACAGAAACCTCTCTGTCTTAAAACCGCAGCAGATTTTAGACTTCTAGGCCATCATGACTTGAAACAGAATACTTTTAAACTAAAATATAAAATAAAGCACTCCCAAGCTATTTGCTGGGACTTTCCAAGTTTCTATCTACAAGCAAAGATTAAATATTTGAATATATTTTTACTGCATACATCTGGACAATTTTGTTACACATCCTGGATCTTAATCGAAATGTTTTGTGCTTTTAAAAAGATGCCTTAATATTGATGCGTATTTGAGTTAGCGAGTAGTAGTATCAATTTAGCAAACATTGCTTTCTTTGTAGAATATGATGGAAATGATTTATTCTGTATAATGATTGTCAAATTGCACTAGTTGGCTGAAGTCCTTTGCTGAAGTTTGATTCTTATAAATAAGGACATATTTTACTCTTGGTTGGAGCTTTGCTCTTTTTATGCTCTAATTGTTGAGTTCCAGCCTGAAAGTAACTATTTGAGATGACATGTCTGTTTGAAACAAAAACATGGTTTAGTTTCATAGATAAACATTGAATTATAACTCACCTAGATCTGTGTGTGTACCAAATGACTTGATTATGTGGACCTTGTAATGAGCCTTATGTTATGTTGGCTGTTATGATGGGATATATCATTGGAGATAACTTTTCCTTACTTATTTTCTTATTTGGTTGTGGGGGTTTGCATTTGAAATGTGGGTCACATATAGTCCCAATGCGTAGAGCATGCAACAGGAAAAGGAGTTTGTGGGTTTAAGACGCCCCTCCTTGTGGTCCTGACACAATCTGAACATAATCACATAAACCACACACACACACACACACACTACATCTAATTTGTTTGCCACAACAGTGCAGATTGCCTCTTATAACAACCACTGAAATGACAAGGTTAACATCTGTGTCTACTACTGCTCAGACGGTTCCAGCATTATATGATTAGCTTGTTGTACAAACACAATACTTTGCCATTGTCTAAGTTTGCAGCGTTCCCTGAACAGTAAGGCCCAATGCCACCTGGCAAGAAAACAACTGCTATGTCAACTTGATCTTGTGTTACTAAGCCTGTAACTGACTGGAACATACCTTAAAACTGGTTTGGTAAGATATGATACTTTGAATGGGTTATTGTTAGTGCTCTTCACAAAAGTACTGGAAATAAACACTCAATCAAGAAGTTGGATGTGTTACTTTTTCAACATATAATTTGCTGTCGTCACAATAAAATCTCACCAATGGCCTCTTGTGTTCTCTTGTGGTAAGACTTGTCAGTCAAACACAGGATAAGCAGGTCTTTCATCAGTACATTGTGTATTAAAGCGCTCACTGAACCATGGAAGGATCTGCAAGATGAGGCATGTGCAATAAAGAAGCTTAGATACACTGAACCGGCAATCTTTTTGCACTTGCATGCAGTGTGCGTCACTGTGGGGTATTTAAACATCTTAAGTTACTCAAGCTTTGTGGAGGTGTTGAGAGCTTTTAACAAAATTGGATATCCTGCGGTGTCCCCTATATCTGACTTGCTTTAAAAAAAACTACAGTTTTAGTATTCCTTTTGATGGCACACACACACACAGTGCATTGACAGATATGTAAAAGGAATATTTTGACATTTTGGGGAACACGGTTATTTGCTTCTGGGCAGAGAGAGATCAGAAAACTGACACCACTCTCATCTATCCGTTAACTGCAGCCAGCAGCAGATTAGCTTAGTTTAGCGCAAAGACTTCAAATGGAGAATAAAGTAGCTTGTCTTGGAAGGCAATAAAAAAGCCACCTAATACCAACACCTCTAAAGCATACTAATTAACACCTTGTACTCTATTTGGTTGGTTTTGCCATTTTACTATGGATTATGTTTGAAGAAAGTCTGGCACATCATCCCCCATAAAACGTCAAATTGAGGTTTTTACCTTAAGGTTTTAAACTTTTTAACAGATTAAACAGACCACGTACAATGTAGTGTAATCACTAAGCCTTAGAGGTGTTCGTAGGTTGATTGTCTACCTTCTGACAAAGCCAGGCTAGCTGTTTGCCTCTGTTCTAACTCATTAATTAAGATCTCATCAAACTCCCAACCAGAAAATGTCATGGACTAATTATCTTCTCCTCCTTTTCTCAAATGTCCCTCTCTATCATTTTTGTCCTAATGCTTTTGTCATCTGTTCACACTGCACATGAACTTGTGTAAACAGTTGGGAACAACCAGGGTATGTGTGAAGACATGAGCATGGGGGTCATGAGGTTTTGCATGTGAGAGTCAGTGTAACCCCCTCGCTGATCCCTG